TGGGGTGTCGTGGCTACCACGCCGGCAGGTCACTGGGCCTGTTCTGGGAGCTGGCGGCGGCTCTGTTCTGCCCCTACTCCAATTGGGGTGACGAGTGTACCACGCCGGCAGGCCACCGGGCCTGATCTGCCGGTCGGTTGCAGGTTTGCCTACCCTGCAGGCGCGGGCGGCAGCTCTACTCTGCCCCTACTCCAAATGGGGTGACGTGTCTGTCGTACCGGCAGGCCACTGGGCCTGTCCCGCTGGTTGGTCGCAGATCTGCCCACCTTTCGGGCACGGGTGGAGGCTCTGCTCTGCCTCTACTCCAATTGGGGTGTCGTGACTACCCCGCCTGCAGGACGCTGGGCCTGTTCCTGGCACAGGAGGCGACTCTGCTCTGTCACTACTCCAATTAGGGTGGTGTTTGTACCACGCCGGCAGGCTCCTGGGCCTGATCTGCCGGTCTGTTGTAGGTCTGCCTACCTTGGAGGCGCGGGCGGCGGATCTGCCCTGCCCCTCCTACCACGCCTGCGGACCCCTGGGCCTGATCTGCAGGTTGATCACTGGTCTGCTCACCCTGCGGGCACGGGTGGCGGTTCCGCTCCTCCCCCACTCCAATTGGGGTCACGTGACCACCACACCGGCAGGGCCTGATCCAGGCGTGGGAGAAGGATCTGCTCTGCCCCTACTCCAGTTGGGGTGACGTGTGTACCACACTGGCAGGCTACTGGGCCTGACCCGCCAGGCTGTCACAGGTCTGTTTACCTTGCAAGCGTGAACGGCGGCTGTGCCCTGCCCCTCCTACCACGCCCATGTACCACTGGGTCGCGGGTCTGCCCACCTGGCGGGTGTGGGTGGCGGCTCCGCTCCGCCCCCTCTCCAATTGGGGTCACGCGGTCACCACGCTGGCGAGCCACTGGGCCTGCTCCGGGCGCTGGCGGCGGCCCGGCTCCTCCCCTCTGGCTCGAGGACAAATTGAGGAGACTTGGGTGACTGTGCCTCATCCCCCCTACCAGGAGACCAACTGCTTATGTCACCGCTGGTATTGATGAAGATCTCTCCTCCGCCGCTTTCTGCTGACATCAGATCTCTGCCATGTTGGTATCCTATGCGAATGGCAGCATTTCGTTCCCCTTGCCGGGCAACCAAAGCAACGGGTGAGTCCTGACCGGCCCTCAGCAGGACCCGGACCGAGACGCAGTTTCCGCGGGCTCCTAGCCCCAGTCCAGGGAAGTTCCGGGAGCCGGAACTCGGCCGCTCCGTGCTCGGTGTAAGCTCCTATAAGTGTAAGCTCCAAGAAGCAGTCCCCGCGGGCTCAGTTCCGGGAGCCAGAATTCGGCTGCTTAGTGCTTGGTGTATGCTCTGATAGTAGCAGGGTCCAAGAAGCAGCCTCCGCAGGCTCCGCAGCCCTGAGCCAGGGCGGTTCCGGGACAGTTCCGGGAGCCGGAACTCGGCCGCTCCGTGCTCGGTGTAAGCTCCTATAAGTGTAAGCTCCAAGAAGCAGTCCCCGCGGGCTCAGTTCCAGGAGCCGGAATTCGGCTGCTTAGTGCTTGGTGTATGCTCTGATAGTAGCAGGGTCCAAGAAGCAGCCTCCGCAGGCTCCACAGCCCTGAGCCAGGGCGGTTCCGGGAGCCGGAACTTGGCCGCTCCGTGCTCGGTGTAAGCTCCTATAAGTGTAAGCTCCAAGAAGCAGTCCCCGCGGGCTCAGTTCCGGGAGCCAGAATTCGGCTGCTTAGTGCTTGGTGTATGCTCTGATAGTAGCAGGGTCCAAGAAGCAGCCTCCGCAGGCTCCGCAGCTCTGAGCCAGGGCGGTTCCGGGACGGTTCCGGGAGCCAGAACTCGGCCACCCCGCGCTCGGTGTTCGCTCCGATAAGATCAGATTCTAAGAAGCACCCAGGCGCTGAACCCTAGCAATCTGTCTGCAAGCCGCAGGCGAATTGCAGCCTGAAATTACCTGTTCTATGGCTGAATGAGCTGCGGTCAGTCGAAAACAGGGAAGGTGATGTCAGTTTACCAACATGGTGGCTGCTGGCCTCCTCTGTGGTCTGACCGGTGTGGAGAACCGAGATGGACCGCTTCCTTCCCCCGTCTCGAACCCAGAATTCAGCCCTGAGTGCGGTGCTTGCGCCGCTGGCAGAAACTGCAGCACTGTAACCCTGCATCTCTATCCCAGAGCGCGCTGCAGACTCTAGCCGCGGGGCGATTTGCTGAATAAGCAGTGTTACCCTCCGTGCGACAAACCTCTCGCGTTTGAGTCCCCGTAGCCGATCCTCGTGCGATGGAAATCCTTCCTCCAGGTTCCGGCGCACCCCACTATTGCTGGAAATTCCTAACAAGATATCCTTTAGCCGTCCTGACTTGTCATACTCCCACACAGTGAAGCAGCACACGGGGGTAATGCACTCCCCTCGCCGCCATCTTAAGGGTAACCTTTGACATATAAATTCAATATCTTCAATATATAAGACTTAAAAAGACTTTACATTTCATCTTGTTTTAGTATGTTGTATTTTTTTTTCCCTTGATACTGTATATTGAACCCAGAGGCTCTTAACCATTGAGTCACATCCCCAGCACCAGCACCAGCACCACCCCTTTTTTAAAAGATAGGGTCTTGCTAAGTTATGTAGGGCCTTGCTAAGTTGCTGAGGCTGGCTTTGAACTTGTGATTTTCATGCCTTAGCTTCCCCAGTCACTGGGAATAATTACAAGTGTGAGCCACTGAGCCCAGATAGTATGCAGTATTTTTCAAAGATCATTTTTCTGTTCCATCTAAGCTGTCAGTTTTATTATCTTAAAATTGTTCATAATATCCCTTTATCTTTTTCATGTCTGTGGAATCTAATCTTGTACCCTTTTATTCTTGATACTGGTATAATGTCTACTTCTTGATCCATTTAACTGGGGAATTACCTCTCCCATAGAATGTGGGCTTTCTAAACTTTTAATGTTTGTCTACTCTTTCCTTCTATTTAATTCTTTCTCTTCGTAGCTTAAGGTGGAAATCTGTATAAGAAACAATTATAGCTATACATTTACCTCTAAGCACTATTAAAGCCAAATCCTATAAATTTTATTTTCATTATCTTTCAGTTAAAAAACATTTTATAATTTATCTTGTGACTTCTTGTCTTAGAAGTTTTTCCAAGTTTTTATCTTCTGGCTTTTGAGAACTATTTTATAGCCCAGTATATGATTTGTCTTGCTGAATGTACTGTGTGCACTGCAAAGAATGTATATTCTGGGCTCAGGGTGTAGTTCAGTTGGTAGAGCACTTCCCTTAGTAGAAAAAAGAAAAAAAAAAAAGTGCAATCTGCAGTTATTGCTTGTAGGATTCTATAATAAGTATCAAGTCAAAGTGGTTGATGCGTCCTTTTCCACTTATTATTTCTATCAATTGCTGAAACAGAAATTTCTTCTATGATTATTTTCATGGTATATCTTCAATGGCACAAGTTTGGGCTTTAGCTTTTTATTCTTTCTCTGTGCTTTTTCAATTTAATGTTTATTTCATTTTAATTATCAATATGATAGGATTTACACTTACCATTTTGCTACTTTGTTCCTTCTGGCTTCTGTTGGGGTGGGAATTGATCTTTCTGTTTTTCTTTTCCACCCCCTTTTAAGCATTAGTTGTACACCCTACCACATAAACTCTAAAACAGCAATCTCTCAGTCTCTTTTAACCCCTTATCCTTTATAGATATTGTATTTATTTAGGTTCAACCTCACAATGTAGTAATTTTTCCTTAAATAAGCATATATTTTAAAATATTTAAATCAAGATAATATTTCATATTGCTTATATTTATTATCTGTGGGAGATCTGGTTCAACACGAGCTACTTTGCTATTATCAAACGATAATAGATTTTTTTTCTTGACAAAGTACGCCTCACTTTTACTGTTGGGAACTAAGAGTTTTGCGCTAATATTATTCAGTAAGGACACTGTTTACATCATGCTAGTTTATACTTGTATTTTCCTGCATCTACTTCACATCATCAAAAACCACATCTGTATCTTTGATTATATAATCAGTCTCAGTTTCCTAATTTTATTAAAATTGTGATAAGCAACCCCCATAATAGAAATTAGGATAGTTTTCACACCAGAATGCAAATCCACATCCCAAAATCTGAACAGGAACAACCTAAGAGTATTTAAGTTTTAAGAAAATCTAAGCCCAAGTTAATGTGGAAAGCATTGCTGGGGGCTTGACTGCAATCACTGGATGCATGGTAGTACCTTACCGCAAAGAAAACCTTCAAATCTATGATTTTCAGCTATCATTCAAATCTAAATTACTCCTGAATCTTCATCTTCAAACCAATTTCACTCCTGCAATCCAGCTATTCAGCTATCTTAGTGATATCATTATTTGGAAGTCCTAAAGATAAACATGTCTAAAAGTAGACTCCACAATCAGCCCTCAATTTTATTTCCCCAGTATTATTTTACTCTAAATCCAGAAATGGGTCCCCATCCTAAAACCACATTCACTCAATCTCTAGTTTCTGTTGATTTTAGATCCTGAATCTCTCTCATGTCTCCTTCTTCCTCTCCATCTTTGTTTATATTCTCATCTCACTGAGACCTCTACAATAACCTTTTCAACTAGATCAGTTCAGTCTAGTATGTTAGCCTCCACACTAATATAGAAACTGAGTTTTCTCAACTTCTCAGGATGCCCAGTTCTGTCACATACCCACTAAGATAAGGGTTTCTACTTCTGATACCTTGCTCTGTTTCTGAGATATGGAGAATTGCTCAGCTGCTTCTTCAATGTCAAATCATGTCCAGTCATAAAGAACTCCAAACACAGTTTGGTTTGGTAATAGAAGGTAGAAAACCTTCCACTTATGGTGAGTAAAAAGCATTTTAAGTGAAAAGTGGGGACAAGCTCTCAAGCAAACTGATGCCTGCCCTCTGTCAGGGCAGGGCTGCTGCTGATACCAAGTAAGAAGTTCTTCCTCTAATTTCAAACTAGGCTTGGAAACAGGTAAGGGAGGACAGTGATCATAGTTTTTTAAACATTTTAATGTGATCTCTTATTTTTACACCTGAGTTACAACTTTCCCCAAAGGAATAATGATACATAATCTTATAAAGGACATATAGATAATATATTGATAGCATCTGGTTAGTGGTTATTATCATTGATTGTCTTATACTAAAATTTCTCAGCTAAGAAGTTTTTCCCTTTTTAAAAAATCCTTGGTGCTGATACCCGACCAGCTCATGGCTCCTAGTTCTGACATGATCTGGTTCTAGACTCTGACCTCTTGCAAGAACCAAATACTTATTGAATTCCCTTTGGGCAAATGCAGCTGGATACTTACCAGTCTGGCCTCAACTTAGCATTTTTTTTCATCATTTCTTTCAGACTGTGAAAAAACTATATTATCAATCCAAGATTTATGTTTGCCTTGAAGATGGATTACCCCACAGTCTGAAGATCATCCCAGTTAAGCCATGGCTTCTGCCGCAGTCTGGCTGGGCACAATCAGGAGCCACTTGTCAAAAGAAACTAACTTTATTTTTAGAACCACACACGCCAAACAAAATAGCCTCTCAGGAAAAACCCTCAGAGCCTCAACTGCCACCACCGGCTTTCCACAAGCCTCTCTCTCCCCCCCCCACAAGCTTCTCCCCACCTCCCACAATCCTCCTGCTCTTCAGGCCGATTGGCTGGGTCACGTGGGCGGAGCCAAAAAAGTCCCCCAATGAGCAGCTCCGTGGTCTGAAAGGGCAGGGAAACAGCCCAATGAGCATCACCGCAGAGGAGCCAATCAGCTAGATGTTGCTGGGGCCGAGGAGCCAATCAGCTAGATGTTGCTGGGGCCGCTGTGAGCCAATCATCAGCCAGCAGCTGGAAGTTTGCTGGCAGCTGGAAGTTTGCTGGGGCCCCTTTGGCTGTGGCTCTCAACAGCTTCAGTATCACAGAGCTACTACACAGAGGTCTCTCAGCCTTTCCTTGCATGAAGGAAGTGGAGAATCAACCAGGAGATAAAAGTTCTTTTAAAACCAAACAGCTCGTGTGCCTTGCTAGCTCTTAAGTTTCACATACAGCCGACGCCTTGCTCCAAATCTTAATCTACTAGACTGTCTTTTCCTCATGTCCTGGTGGATCGGGCCAATAAAGGGCTGCACAGGCCTTAGGTTCCTCGTGAGCATGGTAATACCCTGTGTTCTAATTCAGTGGTGCTCACAGGGAATAGTGCTGGCCTCCACGATGCCTGATCATATAACATTCCTTGGTCCAGTACCTCCTCACCCAGAAACCCCTACTCCAGGGTCATCCTGCTCCTATTTTTCTCTTGTTTGCTCTGATGTTTCCACAATGGGCTCTGGCTCCAGAGGAAGAGATGGTGGCTTTGTGAGCTGGGATGTTCCACCAACACCTAATAACAAAACAATTAGCATAAATTCTTAGTTAAATTTCAAGAGAAAACCCAAATTTGGGGAAACTAGCAAGACGATGGTGTATCTTTGCAGCTATGAGGGAAGGCAATAACTAAATAAATAAAGCAACTGTCAAGTCTGTCTTCAGTGAATCACTGAAAAAAAAAAATCTTCAATTTCCTGTACCATACCATTCTACAATAAAGCACTAAAAATTAAAGTAAGACTGTATAACAGAATTTATTTACTAATGTATTTTCTCCCCCATCCTACACTTGAAACAGGGTCTTGGTAAATTGTAGACTGAACTTGAACTCACAATCTTCTCGCCTCAACCTCCTAGGTAGCTGGGATTACAGGTATGTGCCATCATGCCCAGCCTTGCTAATGTATTTCTAAAACTGTGAAGACTGTATTGCCTTACAGTTAAGTCTGCTGATGCTGTTAACTACTACATAGCTTACAGTAAGAAAACAGATACTAGTTTGGCCACCCTTTTTTTTTTTTTTCATCCCACTGGCCAATACTAAACTGACCATATTCTGAGTCTGAAGAATGTAAGCCTCACTCAAAGTTGTAATCTCTTTGTTGGCATAGGCAGCTTGTACCCACTACATTTTTATGGAACTTTGTGTAGCCTCCTACCTGAAGGGAGCTTCCTATATGCAACTGCTGAAGACATTGCCTGTCCAAGAGCTTGATTGGAGCCCAGAGGCTGTTGGAAACCAGCAGGTTTTCCAGTTGAACTGATTCGGTGCTTCGATTTGGGATCTTTAACTGGTTTAGTCCAGACCAGTGCCTCCCCTACCTGGAGAGCAGCTCCCAACTTCTGAGCCATCTCCACCATCTTGTGTCCACATGAAAAGAAAAAAAAAAGTTATAAGCATGACTGGCAGAGACTAGTCAACCCTCCTATTTTGGATCTTCCAACCAAGAGGGTTAGCTGAAATGGTGTCTGCTGGCTAGCATTTGAAGGAGGAAATATTCACTGCAAAGGAATCATTCTGAAAGGGCAGAGAATAGACTGTCTTTAGTGGCTAGCAAGAGGGCCCATGTAGGATCTCAAAACCACCAACTGAAATCTGATGTATCATTGGACTAACTTCTGCCTTTCCTACATGAAGGGAAGTGGGAAGAAGCTATGCAGAGACACAGACCTCAACTCAAACGAGCAATAACAAATCAGTAAGCCTGAAGTTCTTTTTACTATTATTTTCTTCTAGAAAAGTTTACCTTGGACTGTAACTAACTGACAAACTCATGCTGCAAAGATCATCAAAGCCAAAAAGAGTCATGAGCCTAGAACACCTTTATAATTGCATTATTTTGGAGTGACCTAAAAGTCTGCTGACAGCTTGCTTAAAATGACTGAGAGCTAATAAAAGACATACCTCAGGATCAAATTCCAGAGAGCTATTATCCTTGAGAAAGTTAACTTTCTTTTCCATCTCCTGATACTGGGCCAGGGCATCCTTCTTCTCACCCTGGTTGTACAACAGCACAGCATAGTTCAGGTTTACTAAAGGGTTACACCTGTGGCAGGCAGACAGATATTGTGGAGCAGGAGCTTTGCAACAAATGCACATTTAGAAATCCTTCTCATTACTTGAAACAAAACAAAACTGATTTGAGTGGAGATTTCTCCAATACCCACTAATGTGGGAATATGCTATGTACACTTGTGGAAAAGAATCAAGGAACTAATTGCTCAACAAGCAAAGCAGGTATTGGGACCAAGTCTGGCATCTCAGCCCTCAACAGAGAACACTCAGGATAGGTTGTAAAAGGGCCCTACTGTAGTAGATGCTAGTGGAATAAATTCTGAAAGAGTCAAGTTTATCTTAGATCAAGCTGTGCCCTGAGTTCCATCTGATACTACAGCTAGCTCACAATTAATCAGCAATCCAAGGCCACTGCTGCCTCTGGCTTTCTATGGCTTCCTGATTACTAAACTTGGAACAGGAAATATTTCTTCAGAGTATTAATTCCTGCTGAGCCCTGCTTCCTCAGGAACCATATCCTTCTACATTTGGTCCTGCTGTGTATGATGGCCATGCAGGAGTGTTTGGCTGACTCAAGCAGCACTACTGGTACAGTACCACCTCATGGCTTTGATGAGTCCCACCTTCCCCAGTACCCTTCCCCCAGTAACGTACTTATCCAGGAGAACTGCTTCTGCGTAGGCTCTCTTGGCATTCTCTGTATCTTCCAGATTGGTCAGAGCCACTGCAACCAAGAAAATGAGGAGAGCTAAGCTTAGAAAACAAAATAGTGTATTTCAAGACCACTCCCAGAGCTGGGGGTGTAGCTCAATGGAAAAGCACATGCCCAGCATATGAGAGGCTCTGATTTGATCTCCAGCACCACACACATGCCAACCCAACCCCGAAGTGAACACTTCCTCTGCCCCATCAACTATGGCACTGCTGTATATTCTCATTCCACTTAGATACCTCTTCATAGTTAACAGTTCTATGCATTCTACTTTTGTAGTTTCTTTTCTGACACTGCCCTAGTTTAAGCCAAGTCAGGTTTTCCATTTTCCCCAGCAAAAATGTCTCCACTTGCCTCCATTCCAGTTTTCCTGTGGTATCAGATGTCTCACTCACTGACAAATAAATCTAACCACATCACTGGCCCTACTTAAGAATCCTCAGTGGTTCTCCATGATCTTTAAACTATTATTTAGCAATAGAACACTTCCCTTCTCTTAAATCAATTCCTGGAAGCCTAATGTACAAAACAATGAGAGTTCTTCTAAAAAGCCCTGCCTATTTCATGTTCCCATCAGGCAATTATAATAGGCACCTATAAGATCTAGGATTATGGCTGGACAGGCAGCCTATAGGATAAAGTCTACAGCCCTTGGACTATTCTCATGGCCCTCTATAATCTGACCCCAGATTATTTTATCTGACTCATCTTCCACCACATTCTCTGACAATATTGCCCACTAACTGCATGGGACACTGCAATTTCATGGCTGTACCTCTGTTCACAGTGGTTCCTCATTCTCCCTGTGCTATTCAAGTCCAACTTGTATTATGGAAAATACAAGGAAAGTTATGTCAGATTCATTCCACTGTCTTTCCTTTCTTCTATGGGATATTTAGCCACTGATTCTAGTTCATTTTTCCCTCATTATAGACCATAAGAAGAGGTTTCCATACAAATAATGTCTCCTACCAGCCAAGAGCATGTAGAGCTCCCCCATCTTTGGCTGGAAGTTGATGGCTGCACTGAGGAAATGGAAAGCTGATGCATACTGCTGCATGGTCAAATGGACAAGGCCCAAATTATACAGGATCTTCCAATCGAAGGGTGCCAAATAGTTCGCTCTTTTCAGGCAGCTGATAGCCTGCAGGGGAGAGAGGGCACTCAATGAAAAGGTGGAGCAAGCTCAGCAGACCCAATAACCACACGAATGAAGACAAAGAATGTGAAGGGACACTCACTGCCACATATTTCTTCTTGCCAAAGAAACACATTCCAATATTATTCCAGAGTGGAGGACTTTCTGGAACAGCACAAGCTACAACTCTGTATTTGGTGAGGGCAACATCAAAGTCCCCATGGGTCTGCATCATGCTGCCTGCTGCCAAGATGGCCTAAAAACATGGCATGTGGAAAGTTAGTAATTCTGTTATTCCCAAAGGCAAGGGCAGTGAAGTAGCCTCCTAAATGTAGATAACTCAGCAGGCCCATCAGTATAGATAAGACTGAAAAACTTCTCCCAGAAACATAAATAATACGAAGCTACAGTGACAAGTGCTCCTGAGGAATGTTCTGGTACACCACACTATGACTCTCTTTGGCACTGTACCCAAAGAGAAAAGAATGAAATGTCTCTGGCTTTACTCAGCTCATGTTTCCTACTTCCATCCAGGGAAGTCAGTATTTCAGTAAATAGTGCTTTTATTCTATTCTCTGAAGCCCTTATTTGATACACCAAGTGCTCCAAACACCTCAAATATACCTTCTGCAATAGAACTAAGGGTAAGTCAACTTTAGGCTTCATCAGTCCAGCCTTTCATTTCTCAAAAGAAAAGTGTCAAGGAGGAGAGCCAACAGTGTCCGGCTAATGACTTTCTAAATCAGGACTGAGTTTGTGTCAATAAATAACCCTATCTTGCTGCATCTCCCTCAGGGATATTCATCCACCTGAGATCTTCTTTCTCAACCCCAATGTCACATCTTAACAAAATTTGTGATCTCACTGACTTTCTCTAAAGGTCATTTTATCATAGTTATTTTTGATAATACCTGTGGAAGCTTTATCAATTTCCCAAATAACACATAAGCTAAAAAACCCTCTGATTTTGCTTTATGCAGAGGTTGCAGGCCTGTTAAAACAAATGTGCTAATTTAGAAGCACAGCACCCACACTTCATAATAATTTTAAATAAAGAAGCTGCCTTTTATTTATATATATATATGTATACTTTTTTTTTTTTTTTTAAATCTCAGAGTTCCACTATGCTGCCCAGGCTGTTCTTGAATCACATGGGTTCAAGTGACCATCGTGATACAGTCTTATTTATAATTCTTTAAAAACATCTATTTCTTGGGTTGGAGGTGTGGCTCAGTGGTAGCGCTTCCTAGCACGTATGAGGCCCTAGGTTTGATACCCAGCACCACCAAAGAAAAGTGAATTTCTCAGGTATTCAGTGAGGAAGCTAACCCTTGCCTTCCAGGGTCAGACCACTTCTAGGAGCCATGGGACTATCTATATGAAGGCTCTGGGGTTTCACGGCTTGCAATACCTTATAGTTGGTGGGGTCATAAGTCAGTGCATTTCCAAGATGTTCAAATGCCTTCTGGTAAACACCAAGCTTGAAAAAAGCAAATCAGAGAATTGATATCAAAGGGAACATAGCAGTTTAGGAATCTGGCCAACCACACCCTGAACAAAAACACCCAATCATTGATGACTTTTCTTGACAAAGAGAAAAAAAAAAGAGTTGAACATACCAAAGAAAGAAAGAAAACCCCAAATCCCCATATTTGTGGGCTTTTAAAATTTTACTGATTTGTCTCCAGGTAAGATCAAAGTATCTATTTACCAGAAACCATTTCCACTACTCTCATGCTGTTCTACATAATGCCTCTGGGCAGGAAACGAGCTAGTTAGCCTCCAGTCCTTTGGGGCCAGCCTCACAAGTCAAAGCCCATGGAGACAGAGGGTTAAGGTCCTGGTTCCTCTTAAAGAAAAATGAAATAAACATAAAGGCTACCAGAGAGGCAGTGGTGGAGGCAGAATCAGCTGAGCAGAGAAACTGATAGTGTAAGCAGGGCTTCATCAGTCCAGAGATCCCTGGGCCCAGGTTCCTCAGGCTGATATAGAAAAGTGATAAAGCCAAAACAATTCCATTCACACTCAGAAATGTAAAGAGGGAGTGAAGACTTTATTCTAGACAAAGTGTCCTTTGCCCTTGCCTTCTCTCTTTCTTATAGGACCCTGGCCAGGAAGAAGGAGCAACAGAAACAGCCTTTACCCCATGCCCTGTGCCATGCTAACTTGATCACAGTTTGTCCCCATAGGCCAAAATAATAGTCCCCAAAACCAGACAGGTGTTTCTCATATATGCTCTTTCCTATTAGATAAGAATTATAATTGAAGTAAGGCAGAATTAAAATTGACTGATTTGAATGAAGAAAGTTAATTCCTTTAGCAAAGAATATCAAATACTGAGAACAAGATTCATGTGTTCCATGTGACTATTGGTAAAATGTGCTAAATATCAAAATGCAGAGAAGTCACTGTATGCACAAACCCCAAAGCATTTCTAACATCAGTGCATGAATGAGTGGAATTTTCATTACCTGTAAATACAGCAACCCTAAAGTTGTAAGAAGTTCTGTGTTTTCTGGTGAGAACCTGCAACATAGAGATGCTCAGAGGGAAACAATGGTTATAAGAGACGATACAAGCATAGCCACCTATCCTTGTGCAACACTTGAGACATTTTGCTGAACCTCCTTCTCCACATGGAAATTTCTGAAGGCAATTTGGTAATTTTTTTCAAAAGTAGGTCATCTGAATCCTGGCTATAGGGAAAATTGCTCAACAACAAAAATCAAGGCTCTTTTCTTAGGGCCAACATCATATGATCCTGGGTACCAAAAAAAAGAAAGAAAGAAAAATCTATGGTATATTTTGTGTGACTTTCCTTCTTGATTACACTGATACAATTAAAGAACAAAGTTTTAAACGCCAAGTCAGTCGGGAACACACATAGTTTAAAGCCAGTCCCCTTTTGTGGGATTTCTTCTGTTTTCACTGTGCTCAGGATGCCAGGCAGCATAATTTTCTGTGTCAATTTAGGATTCCAAAACCCCTAATGTTGTACTCTCCAAATTAAACATAAAGCCATACTAAATAGTCAAATTAAACAAAAGAAGGAAGACACATAACAGCCTAGGAAAGAAACTTGGAACTGGCCCTTGGAAGTAAATATTGGCTCAAGTAAAATATATCTCAATCATTAGTATATGTCTTTGTTCAAAAATCAAAGCAACACTGAGTTAAGACTATCTGACTACAGAATCATCAGTTTCAACAGTCATAATACCAAAGGGCCCTGTTTCCTCCTCTTAAGAAATGAGGCAAGATGCTGGTTACTGGTAAGGATCCCAGAACCAGATAAGTCAAAGCCCCAGCCAAGGGATGCCTGAGCTGGCTAAACTAAGCTTTCTCAATTCAGATGAGAACTTGCCTTTCACTTTCTGCCATAATAACACCCATTTTCATTTCTTTCCCCAAGCCACACGAGTAACTTCTATGATTCTTGCAGCAGCCATTTCGCCACACAACATGACTATTCATTCACTCTAAAGCTGTAGGTCATAAAGAATGGTGTCTACCTTCTCAATGAGACTCCAAATGCTCAGCTGTTCCCTTTTATTCCTTGGGAAATTTAGTGACTTAAATCCTTGAGTAACCACCAGAAGAATGTCCCTCTTGGGATTTATGTGCCCTATTTTTGAACAGCCAACTTCTATGAGGCAGGGGTCAGGAGTCAGGGCTGCCCCCATCACCACAGGATACTGAACACAGTTACATGGCTCCTTCCTACTTGCCCATAATCTTAGCTTCTAACCAACAAATAAAAATGCCTTCTCTCTTTATAGCTTACCAAGGAATTTTTCTGTCCTTTTAGATACAAAGCGTTGTTGAAGAAAATTCAGAAAACAGTGTTGTGGTTGATAATAACCACAAAATTACTACCATGGCAATTGATAATAATAGATATCTTAGTTTAGTTCAGAATCTAATTATCGGGAATAATAGGCCTTGAACTGTAGATCAGACATTTTAAGTGACCAAACAAATGAGACACTTAAAGCATTTTTGTACAGCTATGATACTTAAACTCGTCCCTAGAGAAGAAACATGGAACACTAACATGGGAAAACCATTTAGTTCAGTTATCAACAGTTTAGACTGCCCTAATGATGTTCTTGAAAAACAAGATAGCGGGGCTAAGGGTGTATAGGTCAGGGGTAGAGCACACACCTAGCATGTGTAAGGCCCTGGGTTCAAGCCCAAGCAACAAAACAAGATATGAGTTTCAAGCTAATAAGAGAAGATATTTATTACTGAGCTAAGAGATTTTTGTCCCTAATAATATCTCTGGATATATTAATCTATTATAAAGTATAAAAAAAAGAATGGCAGATTGGCAGCTGACCCCCAAATCTTGCTGAGTATATGTCAGCCTACTTCCCTTGCAGCTATGTGTTCCTTCCTGACCAATTTCGAACCATGAAATGTGAGTAGGAACTATGTGTGCAATTTGTGGGTCACCTAAACTCACTACCAGATGCTCATTCCATGTTCAGATTCAAGTACCACTTCCCTTCACCATAGCCTGAAACATGGATGCTGTATTACAGTATCTCAGCTTCAATCATATAGGCAAAGGAATCTTGGGCTAAATGGAAGGAATCTAGATCCCAGGTTGGCTTTGTGAGCAAAGCTACCAGCTAGCCTACAACAGCCATCTTTACAGGTGAGAAAGAAACAGTCTACCTTATTGATGCCATTCACTGGCAGCTCTTATCTAAACTTTAGCTTACCTTTCATTCTAACTTATATAAGTAGTAATCAATCACATATATCTTCTCTTAGGCTTGGCAGTTCACATGTTGTCATTTTTTTTTTAAGTTTCTTATTGCTCTAAAGGTAATAGACACACTTACTCCACTGCTTTCTTGTAGATTTCTATGGCCTTGTCCAAGTCTCCCTCCAGCAAGTGAATCTTCCCCAGCATTGTGTAAGTCAGATCATGCCTGTTAAGCTGTAGGGCATTGTGCAGCTGATCTTGTGCCTAACAAATTTGATGCAGTAAAGAGAACAAAATCACCACCATAGGAAGAACAATGGCCTGCTGAACAAATGTAGGAATATTATGTTAGAGCAAATAGCCCACACCACCCAAAGACCAAAAAGTCCTAAAGCTGTCCTTGTTGACAAGACAGCTAGCAACACAGGCTGTCTGCTTCTGCAGTCACCTGGGAGAGTTCTTCCAAGATGATTAATCTTTCTGAAAGTTTTCTGCTTGGCATTCATATCTATGACTCACACTTTGTAAATCAAAAGAGACATCAGTTGGGTGTGGTGGCGCACTCCAGTAATCTCAGCAACTTGGGAGGCTGAAGGAGAAGGATCGCAAGTTCAAGGCCAGCCTCAGCAATTTAGCAATGCCCTAAGCAACTCAGTGAGACCCAATCTCCAATAAAAAATGAAAAGGGCTAGGATGTTGCCCAGTGCGTAAAGACCCCTGGGTTCAACCCCTTGTACGGGGCAGGGCAGGGGACCATCAGAGGACAATGTAGAGTGCCACATCAAATTCTATCCTAGCTGCACCACGGACTGACTATACAATCTTCCCCAGCATAGGCCTCATTTTCCCCACCAATGTGATGACAAATAAATGAATAAATGGTACCCTATGTATGGGTATCATTGCACAAATGGTATGACTCTACATCATATTCAACTAGAGAAATAAGAAGTTGTGCTCCATTTGTGTAAAATATAAAAATAAATGAATAAATGGCTTATTCTCATTTATTCACTCAATGAGTGTTCATGGAATATTGGCTATTTTAGGTACTAGGTACACTAGAGTTAACAGCCGTAACAATTAAGACCTCCTTTTTCTCGGGAAGTTTATATCTTAGTAGATAGACAAAACAGTTCTATGACTCACTGTTTCAACAGTGTTTATATAATTGCCAGGTATTATATTTGCTTAGCCTGTTAGCTTTACAGTAAAATCTAACTATAATTCTCCTTCTCATCAGTACAGTTCCAACTAAAGACCAATCCTACCTCTCCTCTGGCTCAAAATAATCCTGTGAATTGAAATGTTCACAATATTCTCAGAGAAAAATCTAATCAAGGCTATAAAACTGTAAATCCATTCAGAAAACCTAAGGGGCCCACAAAATATATATTTTTCATATATATATATAAATTAATATCTATCTCACAGGAGAAAAACTGTTAATGTGTAGACTCTTTTTTTTAATATTTATTTTTTTAGGGGGTGTAGATGGACACAACACAATGCCTTTATTTTTATGTGGTGCTGAGGATCGAATCCTAGTCCCGCCCATGCTAAGCGAGCACTCTACTGCTGAGCCACAATCCCAGCCTATGTAGACTCTTTTCATATCCATAAGGGATACATCAGGTTATACCAGTTTATAAATTGAAACAATTTATAAACATTGTCAAATTGGTATTAACCAATTCAGAGTCTCAGTCTCGGTGGCACTAGAGAATAAAACTTCATGACTACTAAGTGGGAACTTTATGAAGAACACTCTACCCAATCTCACTATCACTAACTTTCAGGTCTCTCAGTAATTTCTTCTATTCCTCAATTAATATGTATACATTTCTTTCTGAGCCTAGAGCTTAATCACAATGAAATACAAGTTCTCATCATAAAAAAAATCAAAACTAAAAGTTAAAACTAAAAATTGTCAGAAAACGGATTCAGTTTAAATTTAAAATTCATTTTCAGTAACATTAAAAACTAAAATCAGTTGCTGTGAGAGCAACTTTAAGACTTAAAAATTTACTTTTTGATATCTATATTATTGAACATTTGTTTCTACAAACACTGGGGGTGGAGAGAAAGAAGAAAGGGGAGAATACACTGTCATTCATAGTATTTCCAAAATTTCCATTTTCTTGTCAAAAGCAAGGGAAGACAAGATGAGTAATGATGAATGAGCATTAACATAGCGATAAATGTATAAGGTGCATTTCCTAAAGCTCTGTAAACACTAGAGAGAATACAAAATGAGCAATGGCACCTATGCAACACAATCACACACTTAAGTGAAATTCCAGTCAACCACCATCAGCCCTTCTATAAATTACCTTATTGAACTGCTTCAGATAAATGTAGCAAACTCCTAGATTATGGCAGATTTCCTACATACAAAAAAAAAAGGAAAATGGCTTAGGTGTAATTCATAGTAAGCCTTAGAGTGAAACAACAGGCATCAAGAGTGTTATTGTTCAGCAAAGTGTAAACTTTGAAATGGGCACTACAGTATTTTTTCTAAGTAGAGTTCATATAATCAATATATGTATTCTACAAAATTAGTTCCCTTATATATTTTTTTAAATTAAAATAATAAGAGAAAAAAGCAGAATAAATAGGTGATTTTCCTGGATCTACATGGCTCCTTGAAGATACACACCCAGCCTATCTTCCTACCATTTTTTCTCTAAAAGCTGTCCACTACCCACATCCTTTGTGCCCTTTTCTTAGAAGAAACTATTCAAAGCTCCTGTTGAGAGGACTGCTAGCCACATAGCTCCATCCTTAAAGAAATCCTCTGTCCATCTCTGGGCACCTGAAGCAATCAGAATCCTCTTTCTAGGAATCTACAATTAGAACTGATCTAGCTAGTTGCAAGCACTAAATTCACAAGGTGATGTGGACTTGGGAGCTGACAGCGCCATCTGGAGGTCACTATACATTTTAGTATGTAATTGCAGTCAATCTGCAGAAATTCAAAAAAAGCATAGGTCAGAAAACTATGGCCCATGGGCCAAATCATTCCCTGCCCTCTTCTATAAATAAGGTTTTATTGGAACACAGCCACAGTCCCTTGTTTTTGTATGGCTCTTTTGCACTAGAATTGCAGAGCTAAGTAGCTACAATAGAGTCTGTATTAGGCTGCAGTCCCCCTACCTCCACCCCATTTCCCCAGACACTAAGGATTGAACACAGGGCCTTACACATGCTAAGAAAGCACTTACCACTGGGATATACCCCCAGCTCTTTTTTAATTTTTTATCATGATATGGTGTTTTGCTAAGTTGCCTAGGTTAGCCTTGAACTTGAGATCCTCTTCCCTTAGCCTCCAGAGTAGCTGGGATTACAGGTGTGCACTATCATGCCTAGCTAAGGGGCCCTTTACAAAAACAACAACAACAACAACAACAAAATTTGCCAACCTCTGAATACAGAAAGAAAAGATGAAGCAAAAATGCAGAGTAACTACCTTGGTTGCTGCCAATGTTCTAGTTCTAGTTCACTATAAGTCAACTTGTACTCTTGACCTTAAGTATTGTGGAATCTCTCAAATAACTTTATAATGAACTTTCCTCTATTTAGGGTAGCTTTAGAGAAAGAAAGAATGAAGAAAATGCTCTTGGGAAACATTGTAAGGAACCCCGGTTAGTAGTGTGGATTTGTCCCTGTCCAAGGAACATGGACCACAAGTGCTAGACACAACTAGTTTAATGTTTTCCAAGACTCCTAAAATAACAACAAAAATCAATCACTGATTAAGCACCTATTATACAATAGGCTCAATGCCAGATGTTTTTGCATATATTATTTAAATTTTTCCAACAAATCTGCAATGTATAATCTTTCCAGTTTTACAGAAAATAAAACTGAAGCTCACAGAGGTTAAGAAGTTTAATTAATTCAGGAAGTATCAGCACTGGAATTTTTCCCTTCTTTTTTAGTTCCATATCCTAATCATATATAAATGTAGTTGGAATGGCCATGAATTCATCCAATTCATATGCCATCTACTTTTACTACTTTTGTAACCAAATAACAAACAGCAAAACATTTCAGCATGTATTTCTGAAAGTCTGAAAGAGGTTTTTTTTTTTTTTTGAACCCATTTATAATACCACTATCACACCCCAAAAAAATTACTAACTGCTCTATATCATACATTCAATTACGGTTAGATTTTCCTATTGTCTCATAAATGTTTCACATTTTAAAAAATTACTTTTCTTAATTCACAAATCACATTCACATGTCAAAACACTAGGACTTGACCTCTGGCCAGCCTCCAAAACTTGCGTACTTTTCACTTCATCATGGTATAGAAATGTACACATGGAGACAGAATCGGGGAGAATATAGCCTTTCTTCTCCTTTCCATGTCCTGAAGGTTAACTAACCCCTAACCTTTTTTAACCATTTGCTCTAGATATTATTTGAGAGGGAAGCAGTTATATGCCTTAAACAAACTAAGAGAAAAGGAAATTTGGAAAGGAAAACAAAATAAATCAGAGTCAAATTCTGTCTTTTATGAGGTGAAGGAATCCTATAGACATCTGCAAATGCAGATGGTGTGGTAGAAAGATTCCAGCATTAAAGTGAGCAATCCTAGATTCTAGATTGAGTTCTAACACTGGTTCTGTCTCTAACTCACTGTATGCCTTTTTTTTTTTAATTTTTTTTTTAAATTTTTCGGCGGACACAACATCTTTGTTTGTATGTGATGCTGAGGATCGAACCCGGGCCGCACGCATGCCAGGTGAGCATGGTACCGCTTGAGCCACATCCCCAGCCCACTGTGTGCCCTTTGGCAAGTCATTCCAAGCCTCAGCTTTCTCACCTTTCAATGATGAAAATTCTCCCTACTTAAGAGAATTGCTCCAAAAGTCAAATAAAATAATGTCAGGCAGAATTATTAGTCTCCTGTTGCAGCCAGACATGGAATATCCTGGTAAATCCAAGAAGGTAGGGCTAGAAGTCTTCCTAAGACACTTATAAAGCATAGTAGAGAGTATCTGGCTATTTGGGAAATGAACACTTCTAACTGGTACCAATGGAATGATTATCCAAGTGAGTCAGAAATAGCATCTTTGCATCTCCAGAGTATAGCTTACTGTCTGGTACATAGTAGACATTAATTTGATGAAAATATTAATTAAAAAGTACAAGAATTTTAAAAATGTATTTGTTGATGCTCGGGATTGAACCCAGCACCAACAAATAAGCTACACCCCTAGCTGGATTTTTCCTTTACTTGTAGCTTCACTTTTGTATTCAGCTGTAAAATATTCTATGGCATAAAGAGTCAAAACAACTAAAAAAAGAATAAAAAAGACTCAAACAACTTTATCTTCAAACCTACAGAAGAAAAGTGACTGGCAAATTTAACACACTTAAAAAATATTAGTGACAACGGAACTTCAGGGAAACCCATGCAATGCAAGCTCTCTGAGCTAATCAATCTATTCCTTCTCTCAGAGATGAATGTCTCTCCCAGAATCATCAAATACTTGAAAAAAGTCTCAGCCTGGACATTCTAGGACCACCAAATCAATGCCAGCAACTATTTATCTGAACTTTAGTTACATGAAGAAAAAAAAAATAACCCCTTAATTTGCAAAGCCAATGTTTAGTCCAATTTTCTGCTACAATTAGACACAATCACCAAGATATAAAAGTAATGGAGAACTACTCAAACTTTCCCACACCAAAGAAAAGCAAGGATTTTCAGAATGAAGTGGCCAGATGAGTGTCAAACAGATGGGGAAGAAATAAATAAATCAAATACAATTAGACTTATTGCTAATGGTTTGAAATGCTAATGATAAAAAAAAATCTCCAAAGTTTCTAGAGAGAAAAGTGGAGTTACTAACAAGAATCAGACTGTAACTGCTCACTAGCAACAATGACACTTAGAAAACCATGTAGTAATATCTGCAAAGTATGAGGAAACATGATTTTTGATCCTATAATTAGCAAAAGCATCAACAAAATTTGAGAATATACATTTTTGGCATATAAGAATTCTATAATAACTTATGATAGTCATTTCATAAATGGAACCATTAGCATGCTTACTAAAAGACACTACTGAAAATTCCCTACTTACCCAATCTTTCTGGTTCAGTTTAGCTGCTTCATTATACACTTCAGTGGCAGCTTTATGTTTTCCCAAAAGAAATCTGTAAAAGATGCATTTTCCATAATTATTACCTCAAAATTCTTAGAAGTCTATCTTCACTAATCCCACTTTTGGGGGGGAAGGGAGGTACTAAACTCAGGGGGCACTTGACCACGGAGCCACATCCCCAGCCCTATTTTGTATTTAGAGACAGGGTCTCACCGAGTTGCTTAGCACCTTGCTGCTACTGAGGCTGCTTTGAACTCATCATCCTCCTGCCTCAGCAACCCAAGCTGCTAGGGTTACAGGCATGTGCCACATTTTGTTCATATTACACTCTCTGGAAATTCTAGAAGACATTTTTCTTGGGTTGGTCATGCTAGAAAGGCTAGGCAGGCTGCTGCACACCAACAGCAGAAGCTGTCTTGGTAAACACTGCACTGGCAGCTGTTGCAAGGCCTTTGTCTCATTATACACCAATTTTGGTTAAAGTATTCTATTATTTTTTTTCTATAAATATAGATCAAAAAAGAAACAAGCCAAATGATATAAAATTAAGCAAGAGCTGCCATCATTTATCAACATCATCATTTTTCCTTGATACTGGATCATGATCAGGAAAACCTGCCTCTATGTAAAAACAATGGAGGCATAAATGACAATGTAGGGAAGAAAATGAAGGAGGGAACCCTAATGAACACTCTACTACTCTGGAAAAGGAGAATCTGACACCTTATAAATATTTTGGAGATTACTTCCACTTAGAAAACTTTAGGGCATCCATACAACAAATACTAAAATACTTCTCTGTGTCAAGTATCATAATAAGTGTTGAACAGCAGACCAGGAAAATTCCATGGGTTGCCAATATGATTAGAGGACTTAAGGTACAAGATGGTGTTATTTATGTGATAAGCAGTATGACTGTTCTTCAAATTAGAATGCACAATGACTACAATATCTGGTTTCGGTAGTATTTTTGTTTATTTGGTTTGGGGTGGGTTTTGTTTTCCCCCAGTACTCAGAATTAAATCCAGAAGCACTCTATCAGTAACCTATATCCCCAGCCTTTTTATTTTTTATTTTGACCATTTCCAGAGAGGGTCTCACAAAATTGCTCAGTCTGGCCTCAAACCTGAAATTCTCCCTCCTGAGCCTCCCAAATTGCTGGGATTACAGGCACATACAATCACACCTGGCAAAATACTTAGTTCTTTGATACTACTTTATCTTTTTTTCCTCAAATTTCAAGATTAATCCACACTCTTCAAATGAATCCCATTATACCTATCAAGCCATTTTCCTCCACTGTATCAGTCTGCCAACGGCAGGCTCAGCCTAAGAATGCATTTTACATTGTATTCCATGACTTCCTTAGGGTCTCCAGGCTGCCAATACTCACAAAGATCTGGCCACCTGCTTGAGGTTATCAGCACACTGAGGGTTAAGAATCGCACATGTCTGAAAGAGTTCTAGGGATTCCTGAATGTTTCCTTCCAGGCGAAATATCAATGCTGCCAAGAAAGACAAAATAAAATCATGTTCTAGGAAACAGAGTCTGGCATCAGAAAAATTGAAAAATGGGAAAATGGGAAACCACATGCAAAATATCCTTTGGATAATTATGTCTTAAATCTAATCATATATTACTTCAGATGGTTGAAACAAGCAAAACTGACATAAGCTAAAACTTCTTATAAAATAAGGTTAACTCAAACCTCCCTATCCTCTAAGCATCCACCACACACAGATTTCTTTGCAAATTATCACAGAAACTTCACAAGAAGAACATATTGAAGGGGCTGGGATTGTGGGTCAGTGGTAGAGTGCTTGCCTAGCACACATGAAGCACTGGGTTCGATTCTCAGCACCACATAATAAATAAATAAATAAATAAAGGTATTGAGTTCCATCTACAACTAAAAAAAAAAGAACATGTTGGGCTTCCTCATCAGATACTTTATTATAATTCAGATTTCTACTTCACAATGTACAGAAAGAAACCCAGAATGGTACAAATGGAATCAATACCTCATGTCCAACAAGGAGTTTTTGTCAAATCTTTTTATTATATTAGTTTTCAGTAAAGTTACCTATTAAAACCATTAATTTTCCTTAGGCCTAAGTTTTCAGAAGAATTTATCAGACACTGGGAGTCTAGAACTGGTGATATTGGCAATAAAAGAGCAAATTTTTTTTTTGCCATGATATCCTAAATGTTTCAATATCTTACAAATGATATCAGAAAAGCTTATATTAATCTGAAAATTATAAGCAATGAATGGTAAGCAAACCATTCATTTATACTTAAAAGTCAAAACAGAATTCCTGGAAAAACTAAAGAATGCCACTTTGGGCATTAAAGAGTAAAATTTAAGTGGATGGTTCCTGTTTTGGTTTCTGAAGAGTTCAATTTATCATCTGATTTATCCTATACAACTCTAGGCTTCTTCTCTTCCTCCTGACTTCTTTACAAAATTCTCAAAGCCTTTTCTCATATCCTTTAGCTAGACTACAAGGAACTCTTCCAAAGCATTTTCTGGCCCTGAAACCACAGTGTGAGGCAGTGATCATAAGCATCCATTCTGAAAAAGAATGCACAGGAACTTACAAAGGGGTGTATGATGGTAGTAATTTTTTGCATAGTACTAATCACTTCTGAAGTCAAAGAATTATGTTCAGATTCAAAAAATACTGAGCAAGACCTCAGTGGAACATTTACTTGAATTTAAGTATTTCATAAGTTGGCCTTTTTCCAAGAACCTAAGCCAAGTATACTTCTCCATTAGGAAGAAATATGTGACTTACCTTGGACATAGATAGCATACTCACACAACCCCTGAGTCTCCTGAAGCTGTTCTTTGATAATGGCCTGAAAGAGGAAGAAAAATACCTCAGAATTTTTAAAAATTTTTTTTAGTTGCAGATGAACACAATACCTTTATTTGTTTGTTTGTTTATTTATTTATTTTTATGTAGTGTTGAGGATCAAACCCAGTACCTCACATGTGCTAGGCAAGCGCTTCACCACTGAGCCACAGCCCCAACCCCAGAATTTTTTTTAAATCTCAACTTTTGTTGGGATTACATTTTTTAAAATGGGGTTGACAAATTACAGGACTCACAAGCCACTTTTGTACAGCTCTCAAGCTACGAGTGGTTTTTACATTTTCAAAGAGTTACAAAAAAATAATAAAAAATAATAAGATACTGCATCTGGCCTGCAAAACATTAAACTATTTAGCCAGGTGGGGTGGCTCACACCTGTAATCCCAGGGTTCAGGAGGCTGAGGCAAATTCAAAGCCAGCCTCAGCAACTTAGTGAGGCCACAAACAACTGAGCAAGACCCTGTTTCTAAATAAAATATATATATAAAAAAAAAAAGGCTGGGGATATGGCTCAGTGGTTAAGTGCCCCTGGGCTCAATCCCCAGCACACACACACACACACAAAAAAAAAAAAAAAAAAATTAAACTGTCTTACTACCTGGCTTAGCACAGAAAAAGTTTGTCAACCCCTGTCTAAAATCTAACTAGACAAGCTATTAAAATGTGAGATTTTCAAGGACCATGATAGATGCCAGTGATTCCCTGATAAGTGAACCATAGCCTCTTTGTTTTTTAGTTGTAGATAAATACATACCTTTATTTTATTTATTTATTATTATGTGGTGCTGAGGATCGAACTCAGTGCCTCATACATGGTAGTCAAGTGCTCTATCACTAAGCTACAACCTCAGCCCACCATAGGCTCTTTTTACTACTATGGACTAAACCCAAGATGCTATAATAGCTCAGGGGGCAAGCATCTGATTCTAACTTGAATTAGGGAAGGCTTTCTGGATTTGTTTCAAACTTCATGTTGGCAGGAGCTGGAAGAGAAGCTGAGATACCAAGACTTTCAGAGAGGAAGACTTCAAATGCCGTATCAAAAAGTTTGAGTGTAATGGGGAAAAGTTTTAATCAGGAAAAAACCCAATTCTGTTTGTTATACAGAAATATCACTTTGGAAACGTGTTAAAAACAGAATGAAATGAAACAATATTAAAGGCAAGGTTGGTAGAACTCTTGAGGTAGTTTAAATTGTAATAATGAGGATTAAGGCAGGAAGAGGGGAGAAAGTAGACAATTTCAAAAGGTGGTAAGAGAAGGCCCTCCAGACTTGATGATTATCAAGAAATGGATGAGGGAACTATGACACATTCACAACTGGGTGAATGATGGATGAAATCCATCTCTGAGATGGGAAATGGGATAAGAAATAGGTTTAGAAGGGAGCAGATTAATTCAACCACAGGCAAGTTGAATTTGAAATGCTTGTGGGCATATCAAACTGATTTGGAAATCAGAAGAAATGTGTTGAATGAACAAAGGGATCAAGCAACTAGGAAATCCCCAACTCTTGAGAAATAATTAGAAGGCTGGGCAGGGTGGTACACACCTGTAATCTCATTGAGTGGGGAGGCTGAGCCAAGAGGATCACAAGTTTGAGGTCAGCCTGGGCAATTCAACAAGACTCTGTCTCAATAAATAAAAAGGACTGGAGAAGTAGCTCAGTGGTAAAGGGGCTCTAGGTTCAATCCCCAGTACTGTTAAAACAAACAAAAAAACCCCAACAACAACAACAAAAACCCCAGCAGCAGCAGCAGAGGAAGAGAAGCCAAACAAACAAGGAAACTGAAAAGTGGTCAAAATGAAAAGGGAAACAAAAAAAGGGTAAAATCACAGAAGGAAAACAGAAAGAGAAAATTTCAAAATTTTTACTGGCACTAAAGATCATTATATCTTTGCACTGTTTAAAAGCCAAAATTTAAGAAGCATCACAAAGCTCTGAATGCTTAAAAAAAAAGACAACACTATAGATTTACTTTGCATGTTAATACTACTACCATCTGACAGCAAATTTTTAACATATACAGTAAAGATGGAAAATAAATGGTTTTTATTTAAAACCTTTTTTATATTTACACAAATGATGATCAACCTCACCATAATTAAGAGAATTATCTTATCTATCCAAGGATCAAAAAAACAGATAATACAGTGAGGTAAACATCTGTTTCCATCAAGAAACCAAGAAGTCCCAAAAAATGACTGCCCTTTCAGATTTGCCTTGATATGAGAAGATACATGGAACACACCTGAACCAGACCCAAAAAAGTCTATAGTCAAATCTGGCCAACCCACAGTCAATCTGGAGGCCCATGAGCAATGAATAAATGCCACTAAAACTTTAAGGCAGCACTATCATAGCAAAGCTAACCAATATATAATGTGTAAGGAAGGATGAATTCACATTTTATTAGTGGAATATCAACTGCCATACTGTGCTGCAGACAGTTAGTTGCCTACCCCACAGCCTGCCTCCCATTTCCTCTTATCATTGCAGCCTCTCACCTTGCATGCTTCATAATCCTTCCGGATATAGTGGAGATGTATCAACCAGTTCTGCTTCTCCAAAATAGGAAAGTCTGGGACTAGAGAGCATATTATGACTAAACAAATGACACAAGCATTATTCGATTATTTTCCTTTTAGTGTTGTTCTAATGTCTAAATAAATCTTAAGCATATTGCAATACCCCAATTATTCATGCTGCTGATTATAAGAATATATTATAGTGCATCAAAATATATAGACTATTAAACTAAGAGATACTTGTCCTACTATTACACATTGGATATATGTTTTTTTTTTCTCTAGAGTTTTTGTGTCTTATATAACATCAGTTTTTCACATGATAACTTGGCCTACAAAACAAATCTCTTCTCTCTCTCTCCCCCCATGATTATAGAAGGTGACTAGGAAGTCATTTAATGACGATTTCAGAAATATTTCTAACAAAATATGTTTAACATAGTTAATGTCATACCTGATCAAAGTACCAAAAACACTGTAAATAGTTAAACACAATCTTTAGAAATAGCTCAAATGGGAACATTATACTGTTGCTTAAGGAATAAGAAGTCAACAATGAAAAAAAATCTATTTGAGGGCTGGGGATGTGGCTCAAGCGGTAGCGTGCTCGCCTGGCATGCGTGCGGCCCGGGTTCGATCCTCAGCACCACATACAAACAAAGATGTTGTGTCCTCCGAAAACTAAAAAATAAATATTAAAAAAAGAAAGAAAAGAAATATTAAAAAAAAAATCTATTTGAATCTGAATTAAATTTCCTGTTAAAAACCACACAAATCAGGGCTGGGTTTGTGACTCAGTAGCAGAGTGCTTGCCTAGCATGTGTGAGTCACTGGGTTCAATCCTCAGCACCATATGTAAAAAAATAAAAAATAAAGGTACATCAATAACTAAAAAATATTTATTAAAAAAACAAATCACTGAGATTGAAGATGTGTGTATATGTGTAAAATGGGTAAAGAAGTGCATAATGAAGAGTACTGGGACAAGTGGCTTATTGAGTAATCTTGGACCAACTTCTCATATTTATTTATTGAGGTGGGAATCAAACCCAGAGCCTTGCATAAGCTAGGCAAGTACTCTATCACTGAGCTACATTCCCAGTCCCTTGACCTACTTTTAATTGTATGGCCTATCCCTCTGTCACTTAGGCATTAAAGGAAATAAGTTAAAAAAAAGGAGGAGCCACCAAACCATTCTGAGTTTAAACATTACTCTATACCATTGCTTCTGCAGCCTAAAAATTTATAAAATGTAAATTTTCACATCTTGACTATTATTAAAATGTCACAATAAAAAAAAAGTCATGTTTTGTAATCCTGAATGAATTTACAAGGTAAATTAGAGGTTTATGTTACCACAGAGGTCAGTGACCTGGTAATGAAGGGAAGACAAAGTAATGCCTTTCAACTAGTTGTAAAAATGACCACCCTCAGGGCTGGGGTTGTGGCTCAGCAGTGGAGCGCTCCTCTAGCAAGTAAGGCCCTGGGTTCGATCCTCAGCCCCACATAAAAATAAAATAAAGGTATTGTGTCCAATTACAGCTAAAAAATAAATATATATTTTTAAAAAATGACCATGCTCTTATCTCCAACTCTACAGTGCCCCTCTAGCATCCTACTAAGGCAGTAAGAGCAGAAGGCTGGCAATCTGGCAAAAATACTCCCTTGCCCCTTCTCTTTTCTTGCCTCTTTCGTGACATCTCTTACCCCTCTTTCTTCCTTTAAGATTATAAGCCCAACATATTTAAGCAATTCCATAACAGAATAAACATGACCCCATAAGAATTCTCCTCTATGGCAAATGTCCTAGGTGCCAAATATTCTTAGAAGTGGCCCTAATACAAATCTTTATATTAATCTTGGGTTAATGCCCAAGTTTAAAATTTGTGATGGAATCCTGGGTAAATGAAAGCTAAGCAGGAAATTACTGTGGTTCAAATTTTTAGTTGAACGTTTTCCTAAAACAACTAGGAATTTTCTAAGAGCACTATAAATAAAGCCTTGAGACTTTCAGATATGATAAATAAATTCAGCAAAGTAGAATACAAAATCTACATATAAAAATCAATAGCTTTTCTTTACACTAACAATGAGCTCACTGAGAAACCAGAAAAACGATTTCATTCACAATAGCTTCAAAACATAAATACATACAATATAAATACCATATTCAGAAATAACTGTAACCAAGGAGGTAAAAATTGCTAATTTTCTATGATGAAAATTACAAAACACTGAAATAATAAAAAATGACACCAGAAGATGAAAATACCTCCCATGTTTATATACTGGCAGAATTAATATTGTTAAAATGGCCACATTACTGAAAACAATCTATAAATCAATGCAATCTAAATCAAAATATCAATGGCATAGCCACTTGGGAAGCTGAGACAGGAGGATCTCAAGTTCAAGGCCAGCCTCAGCAACTTAGTAAGGAACTGTTTCAAAATAATAAGTAAAAAGGGCTGAGATGTAGCTCAGTGTTAAGTGTCCCTGGATTCAATTCCCAGTACAAAAAAGCAAACAAACAACAAACAGTCATCACAGACTAGAAAAAAAAATTCTAAAATTCACGTGGAAGCAAAAATGAACCCAAGTTGCCAAAACTATCCTTAGCAAAAAGAATATTTCTGGAGGTATCACAATACCTGATCTCAAAATATACTAGAACAGTATCAAAATATACTGTTTTTATACCAGCATGGTACTGGTAATAAAAACAGACAAGCAGACCAATTGAATAGAACAGGGAACACAGAGACAAAAGCCAGTACTTATAGCTAGCTGATTCTTGCCAAAAACATACCATGGAAAAAATCCTCTTTCAACAAATAGTGCTGGGAAAACTGGATATCTACATGTAAAAGACTGAAACAAGATTCCCCCCTGTCTAAAAATCATTTCAAAATAGATTTAAAAAAATCATCTCAAAAAGACCTAAAATACAAGGCCTGAAACTTTGAAACTGCTAGAAGAAAACAGGAGACAAACTTCAAGACATAGATACAAGGCAATGACTTCCTGAATAGCTAAGGAAATAATAGCAAGAATCAACAAATGGGATCATGTCAAACTAAAAAGCTTCTGTATAACAAAAGAAATAATAAACAGATTGAAGAGACATACTACAGGATGAGAGAAAATCTTTGCCTGCTACTCTTCCCACAGAGGGTTAATATCCATACTATATAAAGAATTCAAAAAACAGACTGGTGATACAGGGTATGGTGGAGTGCTTATTGGCATGCATGAGGCCCTGGGTTTAATCTCCAGTACTGCAAAAACAAACTCAAAAAACTTAACACTAAAAAGCCAAATTCATCAATAAATGAGCAACTAAAATGGCTAATTCTCAAAGAAAGTATCAACAGCCAATAATTACATGAAAAAATGTTCAACAACTGAGAAATGCAAATCAAAACTATATTGCAATTCTGGGGCTGGGATTGTGGCTCAGAGGCAGAGCACTCACCTAGCATGCATGAAGCACTGGTTTGATCCTCAGCACCACATAAATATAAAATAAAGACATCGTGTCCACCTATAACTAAAAAATAAATATTAAAAAAAACTATACTGCAATTCCATCTTACCCCAGGCAAAATAGCTAGATCAAGAAATATAAAAAAACAAACACTACATGCTTTTGAGGACTCAGGGGGAAAAGGAACCCTGATATACTGTTGGTGAGAATGTAAATCAATACAGTCATTATAGAAATCAGTATGAAGGTTCCTCAAAAAACTAAAAATAGAACTATTATATGATCCAGTGATACCACTCCTGGGTATACACCAAAAGGAATTAAAATCAGCATACTATAGAGATATCTGCATACCCATGTTTACCCCAACACAATGTACAACAGCCAAGTTATGGAATCAGCCTAATGCCTGTCAATGGATGAATGGATATATATACAAAATAGAGTATTATTCAGCTATGAAGAAGAAAAAAATCGTGTCATTAGGAAAATGGATGGAACGAGAGATCAAATGTTAAGTAAAATGAGCCAGACTCCCTCACATGTTTTCCCTCATATGTGAAACCTAGGACAAATGAAAGCAGAAGGGAGATTATTAGAGAAAAAGAAGGAAATGAGGAAGAGGGGAGAGTAAGTAGGGCAATGGGGGTGAATATAATCAAAGTATGTTATATATGCACATATGAATACGCCACAATGAAATCCACTGTTCTGTATAATTAAAATGCAGTAATGAAAATTTAAAAGTAAGGCCTTCTTTGTTAAAGACTAGCAGACATGTAGCACATTAAAGTTTTTATATGTAGAATTTCATTCTTAATAAAGCACCAAGACTAGCTATGGAACCTAAAACAAATTATTTGACTTCTCTGTGCCTTCATTTCCTGTCCCCCAATAAATATTCACTGGAAAATATGAAAGATCTCAAAGTGGTCATTGAATAAATGTTAATTTCTTCATATCAAATAGTAATTCTAACACTTTTGTACATTAATATAGCATCTGGGACAACAAAAGATGTAACACAAGACATTTTTACTGTTCTGGGCTTCTACATTGGTCAGAGTCTAATGAAGAAACAGAGAAACCACTCGAGGATTTAAAACAAAAAGACAATGATAGGATAAACAGTAATGGAAGAAATGAGAGGCCTAAAAGAGAATGGTGAGACTGATCAGGTATAGGCATGAGCAAAAATCCACTACCACCCCTAGGACAGAAATAGAAAGGGAGCTAATGTACTACTACCCAGTACCCAGGGCTGGAGTTACCTAGAGGAAACCAAAAAAGAGGTTGGTCTGACTGACAGGAGCAAGAGAAGAGAAACTTCCAGAGATGACCCCTATTCCTCCAACTTCCCCAAGCAGAGGAACAGTGGGGACAGGCTCTGGTGTCTCCTTCCTCTTGCCCTCTAGTCTCCTACTAGTTCCTCCCACTTGCTGATTCAATCAAAAACTGCAGGACTCTGGGAAGAAAAGGCTCCTGCGAGAGTCAGCTTCTCATAACCAAGCAGAGAAGAGAAGCTGAGGAATGATCTAAGGACAAACTGGCCCAGGATCAGCAAAAACATAAACTCTGTTCAGGAACATAAATAATGATGGAAGAAGAGGAGACTGGGCTGAATCAGTATTGAGGACACACAAGAGAAGCTGTTTTTTAATTCTTTTATTAAATTGTTGCTATCCAGCTTGCTTCTTAGGAGCCTTAAGATAGGATGAGGAAGGAAAAAAGGTCATATAAAAAAACAAATTAATTACAGTTTTTCTCTATATTTTAGATTATTGTTAAATTACTTCCCCAAAATAATTAGCTGTATTCTATCCTTTTTAGTTGACTGTATCCTTTTTAGTGTTAAGTTTTTTTATTATATTTTTATATGTATATGTGCGTATGTGTGTTTCAAAGTGTTTTCTCCCATATTATTTCACTGGATAGTGAAATAAGGCTAGTGAGTCAAGCAATTCAGGTACTAGTGCCATATTACAAATAAGGAAACTAAAGCTCTAGAGGTTAAGTAATTTGCCCACAAGCACCAGCTAGTTAGTCAGGGCTCCTAGGGTACTAATTAAAGCACATGTTAGTTTCAGCCTAATATTAAAGACCTTTCTCATTTTAAAATGTATTTGGGCTGTCAACTGACGTAACTTAGTAATATAAAATAAATAATGGTTTTAAAGTTTTTCTATTATAAACG